GCACTTAACAGCATATACAACATTGCTCTGTTTGTGCCGGGGCACCGGATCTTTGGGGTGAACCAGCCTTTGCCGTAATGTGTTTTGGGGTTTGAACGACAGCCATGTGATGTGAGTATCAGTCACATGGAGGCAGGGCTTAAAAGCCTGAATTTTGCCTGAAACTCTCAGACTGAAGAAGTCTCTTGGAGGAGAGACGAAACGTTTCATTAGAGAAGAACCCGTCCAGAACACCTATACAATTTTTCTTCTTTTTGATTTTTTTACCTGGATTACTGAGATGCATCAGGACTATTCTAGTTACTATTACACATCAGGACAAATGAAAAGATGATATTCATGTAAACAAGAAAAATACCGTATCGTTTGTACTGAATTACACAAGTAGTACAACTGAACTATTCAGGCATGTTTTTTCTAATTATTATTATGTAGTCTTCAAATTTTTGAAAGGTAATTCTGATGGATTTGAGAAAAAGATCATAGAAAGAAGTTGGATTTTTTTAAGTACACAATGGGCTGGCATGCTCTAACATATTTTACTTTTTGTATTAGTAGTATTGATCACATACAGTATTTGCATATAAATTGATTTATGTTGTGGGTATCAAAACCAAAAAAAATTCTGTTATTTTTGGTCATATTTTCAAAGAGCCACTGCAGAGGGACCAAAGACATGTGCCCCCAGAGCCGCAGATTGCAGACCCCTACTCCAGACTGATGGAAAATATAGCAAAAACAAGAAAACTGCACATGGTTTAAGTTATTCTTATAAAGATTTTTGCAGAAAATACTTCGGTCCTCAAGGGCCGGTCTCCTGCAAGTTTTACACATTTGATTCAAATAGATGATTTACTTTCTCAGTTTGCCATCAAGGTCTGCAGAGGCCCACTAATTAAGCACTTCTTAGGTTCAGCTGTGTTGAACCAGAGCAGCACCTAAAACATGCAGGACACCGGCCCTTGATGACCAACTTAGGACACCTCTGGCTTAGAAGGTCAGTACTTGAAATCCACCAACAAAATTTATTCATTTTCTTTCTAGAGAGAACAACACATTTTTTCCTTCAACATTTTCAGTGAGCATCAACATTTGACATGATCATCACCTTGTTACATCACAGCAGGAGGACATGTCCAGAAGGTTATTCTTACCTTGTATCATAAATGGCGTGGAGCTTTTTATTCCCATCAACAGCAGACCTGTAAAAACAGAAAACCAAGCCTTAATTTAAGTGGGAACGGTGCTGACTTTGTAACTTGTTTCAGTGAGATTTGTCACTGCAGCCAGTTTCTGTATACACTGTCAAAGATCACAGGTAAAATACAAGATTTGGTCATGAGTTATAATTCAGAAAGACACTGTAGAATTCTTTTACAATCCATTCAACTACAGGAGTGACTTTACCTTAATCACTGTAAGGTAATAAGAAAGCTGTAGTATACCATTGTGTGT